CTCCAGTAGCAGATATCAGAAGAGCTCTGCCAGCTTGATTTGGTCCCCATTCTCTTGGTAGATTTACTTTCGTCTTTTGACTCTAGGCATGTGTATGTCATTACCAGTGTTTCTTGAGAAAAGAGACAATTGGGTACAATTTTTTAGCCTAGTCAACAGTAGGTGCATCTTTATTTCTGATTGGGCTCACATAAAGTTATTAAGAAGTTGTTTTTAATTTCTATAATTTGGGGGGTCTTGGTGGACTAAATTGTTATTTGTTTGTTTCCTTTCTCCCTACTTCTCAACTATATTTGAGTTTTCTGTCTTGTGAGGTTGGGCAAGATACTTATATGTCTTTTTCTGCTACCTATTATCAATGTATTCTGGTCATGACATCTACATTTTTCTGTGCTCTCACAATTCAGACACACTTTATTTTTTCTATATGTATAGTATTTTTATAGTATCTTCTGTAGTGCTGTCTTCAAGGTCATGGACATTTCCTAAGTTTGTGATTATCTTGTAATGTCCTTATTACACCCTCAACTTAAAATACAATTTTTCTGGACATAGCTAACTTATTTGACAGTTCCTTACTATCAGGATCTGAAATATATTGTTCTATACATTTCTGCTCTTTAAAGTTTTGAGTAAGAATTCACAAGTCATTCTGATATATTTCCTTTTCGAGTTGAGTTGACATTTTTCCATTATATCTTTGAACATTTTACTTTGTAATTTTTTGCATTATAGACACATTCTTTGACATAGAGAATCCCTTCACTGGTGATGTCTATTTACAGAAATAAATGCCCTTTTTTTGTTTCTCAAGTTTGTCTCTATACATCAAATTTTCTGTTTTCATTTCATTCACTGTTTTCTCTGTAGTTTTAGCTTTTATCTCAGCTTTTCTATATCTTACAATTCTTAGGACTGCTTTTTTCATCAAATGCTAGAATTCTTTGATGCTATAGTCATATACATGTATAAGCATATATATGTATATCCATATATGCATATATATGTATACATATACATATATACATATATAAACAATTTACATGTACACATATATACATATACACATATATAAACAAACAATTTATTGTTGTTTTAATGCTATGTTTCTTCTGCTTCAATCTTGATCCTGGATATTGTTTCTCCCATTTTATTGTTTTTGTATATGAGGCATTGAAATTTTAACTCCCAACGTTTCAATTGTTTTTTTCTCCCCACCTCACTTTTTCTGCCATGTTTCTGATTGTTCTTTTACATTTTGCTTATTTTTCCTATATATCATTAGCTTTCTTCCCACCTTTGATTGAATGATTTTTTTGGTGTATCTTTTTCAGTTATTCATCATTTTATGAGTACATTTTATGAATAAAATTTCATTAGCCGTATCTTTGAGTTGAATTCTCGAGGGAACTATGATCGTTTGGCATCATTATTAGTGACTTGACTTTTTATGAGCTTGTGTTTTATAGTATGATTCATATCTGTTGGTTTAAGTACCACTTTTGGTAGTTTGTTGTTTTTCTAAATTGAGTGACCTACTCTCAAGGGTTCCCTGCCCACAATCACTCAGTTTTAAGATATCTAGAGATTGCCAGCAATGTCATGTAGTATGTAACACACCAGTTTCCTGACATACCTTCAAATTAGGTGTTAAATAAGTACTTCATCACAATATGGACAGGCATAGAGTCTGATCTTGTTCTTTTTCTACTTAAACTCTTAATCTTTCAGGCTGGCAGCCTTCCTACTTGGGGCCACTTGTCACAAGTCCTGAAAAGGAGAGTAGCCTTGGATTTAAACCCTGAACCTTCAGACATAAGGCCTGATGCCTTGCCAATTGAACTTTTTGAATTTTGGCTCTTAAGCTGCAGGAGCCACTCTTTAGCAAATACCTTCAATTTTTTTTAACAATTTTTTTTCCTTAAATTTTCTTTTCACTTTTATTTTTTATGACAATTTATTCACTTTGTTTCCCCACTGTAGCCTCCTCCCTCTCCTGCTCCCAATTCCTCCAGCCCTCCTCTCTCTCATGCTGCTCCTCTAGTTCACTGATAGAGAGGTCCTCCTCCCCTTCTATATGACCATAGCCTATCAAGAGGTCTCATGAGGACTGGCTGTGTCCTCTTTCTCTGTGGCCTTGCAAGGCTGTACCACAAGGGTGGTGATTGAAAGAGTCAGCCACTGAGTTCATGTCAGAGACAGCCCCTGCTCTTTTTACTAGGGAACCTGCTTGGAAACTGAGAGGCATTTGGGCTACATCTGATGAAGGGATCTCGATCCTATCGATGCATGGTCCTTGTGGAGTATCTGTTTCTTCAGACCCATTTGATAGGTTAATTAAAAAGGAACTCAGAGTTGGATGAGTATAAATGAATTCTGGATCTGTATGACAGTTGTGAATATAAGAAGCTAAACAACAAGGAGGATCCTAAGAAAGTTATTCAATCCTCATTCAGATGGGCAAACAGGATAGATATCAGAGGAGGAAGAAGACAGGGAGCAGGACAGGAACCCTCCACAAGGGCCTCTGAAAGGCTCTACAAATCAGGGTATCAAAGCAGATGCTGAGACTCATAGCCAGACTTTGGGCAGAGTGCAGGGAATCTTTTTTAATATTTTTATTATTGTTATTAATTACACTTTATTCATTTTGTACCCCCCATAAGTCCCTCCCTCCTCTCCTCCCGATCCCACCCTTCCTCTCCTTTCTGCATGCATGCCACTCCGCAAGTCCACTAATAGGGGAGGTCTTCCTCTCCTTCTTTCTGATCTTAGACTATCAGTTCTCATCAGAAGTGGCTGCATTGTCATCTTCTGTGGCCTGGTAAGGCTGCTCCCCCCTCAGGGAGAGGTGATCAAAGAGCAGGCCAATCAGATTATGTCAGAGGCAGTCCCTCTTCCCATTACTATGTAACCCATTTGGAAACTGAACTGCCATGGGCTACATTTGTGAAGGGGTTCTAGGTTATCTCCATGAATAGTCCTTGGTTGGAGTATGAGGCTCTGGGAAGTTCCCTGTGTTCAAATTTTCTTGTTCTGTTGCTCTCCTTGTGGATTTCCTGTCCTCTCCAGCTTTTGCTATTTCTCACTTCTTACATAAAATTCCATTCACTCTGCCAGACAGTTGGCCATCAGGCTCAGCATCTGCTTTGATAGTCTGCAGGGCAGAGGCTTTCAGTGGCCCTCTGTGACAGGTTCCTAGGTTGTTTCCTCTTTTCTTCTTCTGGCTTTTAGAAGCCCTCTGTAGCAGGTTCCTAGGTTGTTTCCTGTTTATAGAAGAAGAGGGATATAGAAAGACTTGAAGGGGCAGGAGCTCCCCAAGGAGATGAGACCAGCAGAAGCAAGAAATCAGGGCTTCTATTTTTTCACAGCAGGCTGTCCTAATTTGACTGACAAAGGGCTCCTGGCTTGTCCACTCCAGTTACTTACTTCCAAATGTTAGAGCCTACCCGTGAAGCATTTGACTGCTTGGAAAGAAGACCTTGGCAGAGCTAAAGCCTCTTGGAGCTAACTGTTCCATGTGTGAGAAACAACTAGAACTGTAAAAAAGGAATCTCAGCCCCCTTCTTTCAATGAAGCTAGTCTGCACAGCAACATGCTGGAAGTCAGGAACTTGATTTCAGGAACAAAGAAGGGATTCTGGGCAGTTTATCACTATTTACTGGGTCTGGAATAGCATAATCTGTCTTTGAGACCTGGCTCAACACAGTGGATTCTCTACCATGGAGTCCTCCCTAGGAAGTTGGCTTAATCAAAGCTCAATTGTCAGTGTTTGGAAAGCCAGGGGCAAATGGTTACCGGCTGGCAGAGGCTTGGGCTTCATTAAACTTATGTTGATGGCATTGATCTTAACTATCATCTCTTCTATAGAAACTGCAGCAAATACAGGCTGTCCTCAGGGAAATCTCATTCCTAATCAGCTGTTGTGGCCATTTCCATTGTATCAGCCCAATGATCACACAAATAGTCTTCCACATATTGATACACACACCAGTAAACAAAACAGAAAAGGGGCTCCTTACAGACAAATTGACATGCATTCATGTCACATATATATGAAAAACAGATGGACACAGTTACTTGCGAATACATGGTTAGGATAGCACAGTGGAGTTCTTCCCCGGGTTCATAAATCACACCACCAACAGGTTCCACTTGGGAGTTTTTAGTAGAGGAAGATGGGCAGGTTCAGAATGACTATGTCTGGGAAAGGCAGGAAAGAGAGAGAGGGAAAGAGAGAGAGGAGAGGCAAGTTCTCTTAGAAGGTGACCTAGCTCATGCAAAGAACTACCAGGTTGCAGGTGGTCAGCAATTGGTCAAAAGTCCCTGCCAATTCTGGAGGTGGCCTCACAGATGCCTGATGTCCTGCTTCTCAGTTTCCCTGGGGAAAGGCCATAGGGATATCTGCTTACAGAGCCTAACACACATACGTATATACATATTTACATATATTTATATATTTACAAATTATTGATTAAGCTAATTCCATTGGGTTTTAAGGTTTATTCTATTAATTTAATTCTATTTATACCTTTTAACATACAGTCCTTACCTCAGAAGAATAATTGTCTCACAACAATTAGCAGGATAATGGATTGCATGGTATTTTAAACATATTCCATTCCAAAAGGTTCATGGTAGGTACAGAACAATAATACTTCATGTCATGTGTAAACAAAGTCCATGCCATAGGCTATATGGCCAGACAATTGTATGCATTTCTATGCATTAAGAGATTCTTTAAATATCTCTGGATTCACAAGCTCATCTAAGGTTTAAAACAATAATTTCTAGATGCCCTAATGCATATTGAGACCCACTGACCCAAAGGAATGTTTACTTTGAGACAATAAATCTTTGTCAGCCCTTACCTTTCTCCAGTGAGATGTATACACTTGACATATGGAGGCTCATAGAGGTAGCTATAAATTTCCATCAATTGTTTAACGTCTTCAAACATTTAAATCAAAACAGGAAATGTACAAAATTATCATCAGGCTCTATGAAATCATTAATTCATCTGAACAGCAGTAAATTTTCATAAAGATCATGTAGGAGATCTCCTTAACCAGGACAGGTAAATATCCAATGATGACAGCAGTGAAGCCTCTTTCATACCATGCCAGAGTTTTGAGAGATACATTAAAAGCAGCACAGAAAAATGGGGTGTCAGTTAGAGGAAGAAGTTCAAGAGGCTCAGTCTCTGCCTCAGATTTAGCTCTATTGTAGACATTGGGGAAAAAAATAAAACTTAAGTTGCCTTCCAGAAATCCCAGATGTCTCCTGAATCCCTTTTCCTGAGTACCTCCTGACAGGAAAGAAGAAATACCAGGACAGGGAAAGCAAAATTAGGCATATGGTCAAAATACATGATCTATGAAAGCATGCAAAGACATTGCTTTCATGAAATTGTATTCAATGAGTTAACACCCACAAAAGACTTTAAGAGGCAGCAAGATAACTCAACTGCAAAAACACTTTTTGTCAAGTTTGATGTCAAACCTGAGTTGATCCCCAGAAACAAAACAGAAAAAAATTCAGATCTAAATTCTCCTCTGACTTCCACAAATATGTCATGTCAAATGTACACTTATAAATATGCACACACAGACACACTAATGCACACTCAAATGCATGCAGACATAGGTAATTAACTAAAATGTAATAAAAATTAAAATGCTTTATGGAAAGTAAAAGAATAAGCAGAGATATGGGCACCATGAAAGAAGCAAGGAAGGAAGACAGGAAGAAAGGAAGGAAAAGAGGAAGAAAGGAAAGCACTATATAATCTAGAAAAAACAAGAAATGTACTCTTTCCTAGTGCCTCTAAATAGAAAAAAAATTTCCAACACCATCACTATGATGGATATCAGAACTCCAATATTGTAAACAGAAAAAAAAAAATCTCTTATATTCAAACAGCAGTTTGTAGTAATGTGTAACGGAAGGAATACAAACATAAAACTGAGTTCTTTTTGCATATTCATATAAAGTATTTTCATAAAGAAGATATAAGAATCATTTAAACCTATAATTTAGTAAGGGGCTCTGCAAACCTTTTCATCATGATTTTAGCACACCTGCTATCAGGCAGAAGGGGGAAGTGTGCAGGCCCAGGGCTGTGTGTGGTGAAGGCAGCTGCTGAGACTCTCAAGGAGGTTTGTGTTGGAGGCTGAAGCACTGTGGGAGGAGTACTAATACCCTGCTGACAGTAATAAACTGCCAGGTCTTCAGCCTGTACACTGCTGATGGTGAGAGTGAAATCTGTTCCAGACCCACTGCCTGTGAAGCGATCAGGGACCCCAGTTTGCCGAGTGGATGCATGGTAGATCAGCAGCTTAGGGGATTGCCCTGGTTTCTGCTGGTACCAGGACAATAAATTCTTTTGTAATAAATAATCTTTGTAATAAAGACTCTGACTGGACCTGCAGCTGATGGAGACCTTCTCTCCTGCTGAAACAGCCAGGGAGGATGGAGACTGGGTCATCATGATGTCTGCACAGGCACCTGCAATCAGGAACACACAATGAACATGCATATGACACAAACACAGAATGTAAAAACAGTTGATATTTGCCATTTAACACCTTTGTACTATCATCTTGTCAGTGTATTATTATGTAAGAAATACTGAGCCTGGCAGACTCTAAGTTTTTTGTCTACCAAAAAGTGACTCTGCAAAGATAATCATATTTTGAGTTTCTCACCAGACACCCAAAGCAGCAGGGATAGGAGGACCTGGGTAGGTGACTTCATCTTGCTCCCCCTGCTGTCTGATGAAGTTCAGGTTTCTGCAAAGGCTAGTTTATATATTCTCAGCACTTGGGCTGGGCTGTAGGGGCCCATGCAAAGCAGTCAGCAAATAAAAAAGTAAATGCCTATGCAGTGTCTGTGAATGTAGCTGGTGTCAATCAACAGTCAAAAAAACTATTACAGGGAACATGAGCAATCACTGAAAAAGATTGTCTTACAGCTCTCAAACAGAAAAGTACTAAGTGCTTTATCAGCAGATCTGGGTTAAAATCCAAGACATATTTAAATCAATTGATTTTTGTAGAAACATAAGTAGAACTATCTCAGATTGACATACTCAGGGAAATGAGAGTATATGTTTGAAAACTCAGAACAACAACAAAAGAAACACAGGTATAGAACATGCCAAAAAAGAAATAAAACATAGACAGAAGAAAAGATGAAATGAAAAAAGAGAATCGAGGCTAAATGTATTCAATATTAGTCAGCTCCAAAGACATTGTGATATTGAAGACAGAGAACAGGAACTCATACATTTGGCCTCTATTTTCTGAGATAAACAAGGAACTAAGATGCAAAGAGTAGCCCAGAATTCACTGTGGAAATCCAGGTGAACATTAATTTAAGAGTGAAATCAGAGCAACTTTAATCTCAAAGCAAAGGAAAACATGTAGAAACTTTCATGTAGCCTCCCCACAACTTCAGGAAATTGAAAGAGGGGTCTAACTATGAAGAAATGGAAGGTGAAAAACATGATTTTCATGAAGTCTTTTCTGTAGAACAACACTGCCATGAGTTTTTATTGAAGAAATACAAATGCTATTGTAATTTATAAATCAGCAGTAGTGAAACTGGATTAAGGTGGGCTTCTGACATCCTGAACAGGTATGTCACTCCTGAAGGGAACATAGCCACCCTAATCTACTTAATGACTTTATAGGGGCCAATAGAACACTACATCAGCCAGTGATAGTTGCTATGCAAAGGGTGAAAAAGACAAGTTTGGTTATGAATGAAAAATCAATAGCGATAAGAGAAATCACAGAACCTGCTAGGACTTCATAGTATTGAAATCAGAAAGTATATATAAGAAATTAATTATAAAGTCAGAATTATGTATAAAGTAAAAGAGAAAAATAAATAAATCAAGTATCATTGCAAGGAGTGGAGATTCACATCTGTACTCCCAGAGCTGGAGAGACAAAAGCAGGAGAATCATGAGTTTGAGGCCAGACTGGAGAACATACCAACATCTCTGCCAATCTAATCTACATATGGAGACAATCAAAAATGTGCATCATTAATCTATTGGTTATAAAACAACTCATGGCCTTATCTACCAAAAACAAATTATTTATCTGATGTTAATGTTTCACCATTAAGCCACAAATATTATTGAAAAATAAATAATCATTTATCCAATATGCACTGACTTCTATTTTGAAGTACATATATAATTTTATACATCTGCTATTCAGGTATACAGATTTAGCTAATTTCTGATAAGGACATGCAGATCTCCTCTGTAAACCGCTAACACAACATCATAAGAGAAAGGTAGACTTATGCATATACAAGAAGTTCCTAATCTCAAGGTGTAGACTATGACAGAAAAGGAACTTTGCTCTTGTCACTGTCTAGCAAGTTTTCATATGCTTTTCATCTCAATTAAACTTTACACTTTTCCTTGTGACAGCAGTACTGAGCTCAAATTTGCTCTCATAGATATTAACATCTGCTTCTTCAGATTGGACAAACAGAGACAGGGATCTTACAAATCCAAACTCCATGGGCTTCTCACAGTATTCAAGGGGAGAGCATGAGGTCTAAAGAGAAAAAGATTTCATGTTATAGTATACATATTATAAAAAGCCCAACAGTCCTTTGTCACTTACCAAGTTTCTACAGTGTGTCCTGGTAAATTAGATTCTGTTGTCTTTGATTTAAAATGGACTATAACCCTGTTAGCTGAATTGAACACTGATTATTATGTTTCCACCCTTGTAATCAGGAATTCTGAAACTGATGGCTTTCAGCTTCTGGGCCACAGCACTCTCTTCGATGGACACCACTGTGGATGAAGGACCAGGGAATATTAGCCTCAGATGCAAATTATTCTGGCACAGTACAAGGCTGAACTCAGCTTTTCTGTTCCAGCACATAGAACCTTCTATTTTCTGGATGAGTAGCCCATATATGTGACAAACAGTAGTAGACATGGAAAGATTTTCAATAACTCTGACAAAACATTGACATATTATTCTTAATTAAAATCAGCAGCATGGCACCAAGGATATAGAAGTTTATTACTGAATTCAAGAGACAGGAGTCCCTTTTACAGAGTGGCAGCCATGAAACAAAAGTGTACTGCTTTATGTGCCTAGAGCTCGCAGGTTTTGCTTCTCTCAGAAGAGTCTGCACAGGTTCTCTGAGTCAGTAGGAGAGGGTGTGGTTAGAGAACTCAAAGCAACCTGTCAGAGCTGAATTTTCTTTGACAACTATTACTAGTTGCACTAAAAATAAACCCATTAGCAAACCTTCAGCTTAAACATCTGTGGAAAGCATAGTGCTAAACAAATAGAGATGATGTGAGGATCTTCTTTTTAACATTTTTATTTCTGTGACTATATTGGCTGTATGCATGTCTTTGTAGGATGTATGTACTTGGTGGCTGCAGAAGCCAGGTGAGGGCATCAGATCCCCTAGAACTGGAGTTATGGATCATTGTCAGCTACCATGTCTGCTGGGAATTGAACCTAGATCCTGTGAAGAGAAGATAGGGTTCATAAACAAGTAGACAAATGTCTATCCAACAACAGCCTTCTGATTAAAGAAACATGAAAGGTAATGAGGGAGATGAAAAAATAAAAGACATATGTGCTGCCGAAGCCTCTGACACAGAAAGAGATGAGCAGTGGAAAGAGGAGGATGGGTAAATGACACCTAAAGGCTCCTTGTGCCTTGTAAAGTCTGTGCTTCTTTAAAACTAAGGTGGAAAGGAAATTGCTTACTAATAAAAAATAGCTTCATTGATACAAGTAGTAAGAGAAAAATCAGGGGAACAAGTTAGTGTTTGTATTTAATCTTAATCTCTGTCTTCTTAGCTCAGGATTTAGTGGGGATGTCATAATGATGCAGAATCCAATATTCCTTTCCATCTTGCCTGGAGAGCTGGCAAGCCTCCATTTCCTGAAGAACCACATCAGTGAAGACACTGCTTTCAGATTTGTATGGATGGCCCCAATCTCTCTTTTTGTTGTGATAAACTACAGTGAAAAAAGCAGAGTGAATGGAATTTTATGTAAGAAGTGGGAAATGGTAAGAGCTGGAGGGTACGGGAACTCCACAAGGAAAGTAACAGAACAAGATAATTTGAACACAGGGAACTTCCCAGAGACTCATACTCCAACCAAGGACTATTCATGGAGATAACCTAGAACCCCTGCACAGATGTAGCCCATGGCAGTTCAGTGTCCAAGTGGGTTACATAGTAATGGGAAGAGGGACTGCCTCTGACATAATCTGATTGGCCTGCTCTTTGATCACCTCCCCCTGAGGGGGAAGCAGCCTTACCAGGTCATGGTAGAGGACAATGCAGCCACTTTTGATGAGAACTGATAGACTAAGATCAGAAAGGAGAGGAGAACCTCCCCTATCAGTGGACTTGGGGAGTGGCATGCATGCAGAAAGGGGAGGGACGGTGGGTTCGGGAGGGGAGGAGGGAGGGGCTTATGGGGAGATGCAAAATGAATTAAGTGTAATTAATAAAAAATAAAATTAAATTAAAAAGTAAAAAAAAAAAAAAAGCAAGTCAGGAAACTTTGTTCCTTATTTGGGAACATGGTTTGTTTGGAAACACAGTTCAAACATACAACCTATTATAGTATGGAAGACAAACTGGAAAAAGCATGAAGCAGCTGCTTATATCACATACACAACTGAGAAATAAAGTGTGCAGAATGCTAGAGCTCAAGCCACTCTGTCCATTTTATGGAGGTCAATATCCATATGCTGGGTGTTGTCTTGCCTAGAGTTATAAGAGTTTTCCTAGGGGAATTCAACTAATCAAAATGATCCATCCCAGACATTTCCAAAGGCTAACTTTCATAGAGATATTTCACAAATATTCCCAGAGGTTTATCTTCTAGATGATATAGATTCTTCCAAATATACCATCCACTGTAGTCGTAATGCCAACTAAATTTCAGTGAGGGAGTGGCATGTTACGAATCTCTTCCATTATGGATTTTTTTTTAATTTAGAAATAAAAGAAACCTGATGAAGTAAAATTAAGAGGTTAATGAGTTACACTCTCTGTGATGTTTCAAAAAAAGGAGTGCACGTATATATAATGAGCATATAACCTACCACACATCATTTACCATTTTGTGCTACATGAATTAAAATCATAAAGTAAAATTTAAATATATATCATTGGTAATTTTAGCCACTTTATTAATAGATCAGCAATACTTAATCCTTCTGCTTGTAAGATTCCAGTCATTGGTTTAGGCTCCTTTTCTTGTCAGTATTGATCCTCACCAAATATACTTTAGATCTTATCACATATTCACCAAATCCAGCAGAGAATAAATGACCATCCAAAAAGGGATGCTGCTGTAATGATATATCTTACAATGTACTGAGTGAAATGGCCCCTCAAGATAGCCTTTTCTTTCATGAGGAAAAGAAGGCTGAACAAAAGACATAAAATATCTCCTGGGAAGTTTAAAAAGAAAATCAGTGGAGGGAGTTCAAGACCTATATCTCTGACAAACAAACATTACATTAGGTGCTGCATTGTAGGAGAAGAACCTCATGAGAATGTGAGCTTCTGGTCTGCCTCTCTGACCCAGTCACTTTCCCTAAGGTAGGCCATGAGAGCCAGCAGTTTATCACTTAGACTTTGAATGGCTTTCCAGATCCAAAGATCAAAACTGTGTAGCTTAAGAAAAAACCTCACTGATCTCTATTCATACCCTTGAACTATACATAATATTTCACATG